AAACTTGGTAGGGAATAGAGCCTCCAAACGGTCCAGATCCTCTCCTTTGGGCCTCCATCCATGAAGTGGAGGTAAATCACAGGATTCTGGGAAAGCCTGAGCTTTAGTCCTGCCCGTAAAACCCACCCAGCAGCCTGTCCTCCCAGCAGAGCTGCTCCATCCCTCGGATCCTCTCGGAGCCTCCTCTGGTTTCTCCCCCAGGTGGATGTCAAGCTCTGCTCCCCACCCACCTCCTGCAGCCTCACCAGCCCTTCCTGGAGATCAGAACCACGTGAAGGTGATGACCTTGGATGGACAATTCCCCACCTGGCAGATGTCCCTGACCAGGTTTGTCTTCTCCACCACCAACCCAAGGAGCTCCGTGTCGGGGCTGGGACGATGGGCAGTGCCATCCCATGCCAGGGGGAGAACTCTTCCCCCCAGGAAGGCTTCTATCCCTGTGGGCCAGGCTGGCAGGTTGGATTATGAGCTGATTAGAGCTCCCTGGGAATCAGCACACCAACATATCCCTGGTTGATTCCCCAAATCCCTGATAAATAACCTCCCTCACCCTCCCTCCCTCCTCCAAAGGCAGCTGTCCAAGCAAACCACATCCCTTCCCATTTATCACCAGCCAAGGGAAAGCAAGGAGGAGGGAAAAACCCGACCCTCCGTGCTGAGAGGGGGCATTAAAACGTTTCCAAGCCTCTTGAAGTTCATTTGCACAGCTGGAGCCAGGCCGGGGCTCTCCGGAGATCCGGAGATCCGGAGTGAGCCGAGGGAAAGGACACGGGACACCCCATCCCTGCTCCCTGTTTTCTGAGGGTGTCAGAGCAACATCTCCACGGGATAAATGTGGCCCTGCATGTCACAGGATGCAGTTCTGCTCCCTGCTCCGGGCAGGGGGATCAATAATCCCACGGGATAATCCGTGCTGGACCTGGGCAGGCGCTGGAAGAGGAAAGCCAAGAGCATCCCGTGCTCCGGGGGTGGTGCTTCCTTCTGGGAGGGGGAAGGTTTGGGAAGGGAAGGGAAGGGAAGGGGAGGGAAAGGAAGGGGAGAGAAAGGAAGGGGAGGGGAGGGGAGGGGAAGGAAGGTTTGGGAAGGGAAGGGAAGGGAAGGGGAGGGAAAGGAAGGGGAGAGAAAGGAAGGGGAGGGGAGGGGAGGGGAAGGAAGGTTTGGGAAGGGAAGGTTT